TACTTGGAATATGAGTCAAAATGATCCAAATTTTTGCATATTGCTCTATACAATATATATACATGTACACCACGTTTATTTCTTCAGGAGGTAAGCGATGAACATCTACAAGCTGAATTATCAAGACGTCCTCATGACAGATTRCGRCGTGCTCTTGAAGGTGAYAAGCCATTTGAAGGGGATGTCAAGAATCTCAATGGTAGTTTATTTGTGAATGGAAAAAATTGCATGTACATCTACATGTCTGGCCTTGTTTTTACTGGGAAAAACRAGACAACAGACTTTTTCAATATGACTGATAAGCCAAGTGGAAAGGTTGACAAAACAGAGTGCTCCAACACTACTGTTGCAAAGTAAGTCCGTGATCAATTCATCCTTCAAGAATTCCCTTGARGTTTGCTACTTATAACTTACGTTTGTCAAGATACATGTACATGTAACTTTGTTTTCATTTATAATTGGCATCATACGCTTTTTTTAAAGTGCTGACATTCACTCCAAACTGATAAAGTTCCCTTTATATACAATGTCTCTTTTCTTATAGCATCTCATTTACCTTGACCTTTGGCAAGGCAAAGCCCAACTTAGAGTAAGTACTGTTTATGTAACATGAACCTGTCATTCCATTTGATGATTAGACTTTTTACAAATGGAACAGAGACWCGTTAGGCTGGCTTTAACATAATGTTTCAAGGCTAGCAATAAGGACGAGATTCTAGTCCAAATCAGAGGCCTTGAAATAACTTCTAGTGCTTTCAACTCCATTTTGCAAAAATTGAATACATGTGCTCATGTGCAAACATCGTATTCTAGAAAAGCGGCTTTACAGCAAAATGCGAAGCGAAACGAAACGAAACGAAATGGATTCGCAATTTACAGATTTATGTGAGAAAACTGTAAATTGCGAAACGAAACCGTTTGTTTCGTTTCGCAATTTACAATCTGTAAACTGCGAAACCGTTTCGCATTTTACAGATAAAAAAAAATGTAAACTACGAAATGAAGACATTTCCATGTTTAAACTGCCAAACGTCGACTTTTAAGTCGAAAAAAAAAATTCCAAACCGTTTCGCAATTTACAGATTTTACAAAAACTGTAAACTGCGAAACGAAGACATTTCCAAGTTTAAATCCAGTGTAAAATGCTAAACTTCATCAAAATTTACAGATGGCTATAATATAAACCGCCAAACGCCGACTTAAATTTATACGAGTTCAAGTATTTTAAACGGACTTACCCTGTTCTTGGCAGTGTTGGCGATGTTGGCTCGATCGAAGCT